AAAGCAAAGCTCTTAAAGAAGCTCTAGCTTAAGACTATACTAGCCGCTATCTACCTTTATAATATAATATCGAAAGCGAAAAGCTTTATAAAAAGTCCGAATGAAGTGTTATAGCTTTGGTTTAAGCAATATTTTAAGTAATACGATCCGGCGATCTTTATACGGATCGACACCGACTTAAAACTAAATTATAACGGTTTAGTTGCGTATAGCGCTCGTACGTACTTAATAATTAAAAACCGAAAAGCTTTTCGCAATAAAAAAGCTTTTAAAGTCAAATCGAAAAGACATATAAGCTATTTAATTAAATATATAGCTTTTAATATATACAAAGTTTATATTCTTATGCTTTATAAAGTAATTATCATACGCAACGTAACGTTCGATAAGACTTAATTTTATCTTAAAGACAAAAAAAAATCGATCGGCTAATCGATTAGCGAGATTAAGAGCATCGTTATTAAATTAAAAGATATTAAAGACTTTAATCAAACAAAAGACGCTTTGTTTAATATAAAGAACGTTATAAAAGATCGCTTAAAAAAGACGAATGCAATTGATATAAAAAGTGAGCAGTCGTCAAACCTTATAAAGGTTGACTTAAAAGGATCTAGTTAAAGCTTAAAAAATGCGACTTTATTTAATCCGAGCGATGCACAAACGTCAAGAGCTTTAACTTTAATTAAAGACCTTATAAATACGTTTATACTAAAAGTAATTGCTTTACGAAACGATCTAATAAACTTTAATAATTCAAGCTATACCGCTGAACGTTTCGCTAGCTTTTTAGCTAAAAGCAAGAACGAAAGTGCTTTAAAACTGCTAAAAGCAAAGAAAAGCATCGTAAACGGACAAAAACTTAGCTTTAATAAAAGAGCGCGCAAATCATACCTTTAAGTTGTTATTTAAAGCCGAGGCTCGGAGAGCTAAGCTACAAGCCGATTAACGGGAGCTTTTACGTTAACAACCGGCGGAGATTCAAACCGAACAATTAAAAAAAAGCTTTTAAACCTTTTTAAAGCGAACATTAATAATAAGAAATTAAATTATAAACACTTTAAACAAAATTCCGACTTTAATAAAAAGCACTTACTTATTAATAGCTGCATTAAAAAACGCGCGAAGATATACGCAAGTGTTAATAAGCTTCTTTTAAACAACTTTCGCGCCGATTCGAACCGCTATTCGCGCGTTTTAGATTTTGTATCGACTTTTTAAGCTAATAACGACTTCGTGCGCGAAAATAATAAAGATTACGAGACATTGCACGCTGTCATATTAACTGCTATTTCGTTTAAGCTATTATTAAAACAGCTTAACTCGCAAAAACGAAAACATCTAAAACCTTTTACTTATTAAAAAAAGCTATAACGACACTTATATAGCAAAGAGTTTAAAAACGAAGCTTTTATAAAGTTGAATAATTTAAAAAAAAAAAATTGCTAAAAAGTTATTTTCGAGAGCGAAGTTAAGTCAAAACTTATACCTCTTAAGTAAGTGTTTATATACAAGACTAGCTCGTTTAAAAAGATCGTAAAGTTTAAATCGAAGATTATAATTAAAAGCGATTTTTAAGACGAATCTATTATTTATTCAACTTACGCTGCTACGTTAACAGCTAGATCGTTTAAAATAATAATAGTTATAATAGCCGAATTTAATTTAAAAGTAAAACAGTTCGACGTCGTCAACGCTTTTATTAACGCTATAAAATATACGGACAGCGTTTTAATTACGTATTATCTTTTTAACGGTTTTAAGCAAAAAAGTATGCTCGTAAAAGTTGATAAAACTTTATATAAACTTAAAGACTCGCTAGCTTTATAATATTTCGACTTTACAAGCACACTCGATAAATTAAAGCTTACTTTACTCGATAAAGAACCGTATATTTTTACGAATCTAAATAAAACGGTCTTTATAGCGTTTTACGTAAACGATATTCAAGTTATATATTATCATTCTAATCTTTTTAAAGCGTAAGAAATCATTAACGGTCTTAATAAAGCGTACGAAATCGAAGCGATAAAAGATATTAAATAGTTTCTTAATATAAAAGTCGCTCGAGACCGTTAACGAAGAACGCTAACGCTTATATACGACGCTTACATTGAAAAAATAGCTAAGAAATTCGAACTTACGGACGGACGCTGCTTAGCAACTTTATTACCGTTTTATAACTTAATTAAAAATAAAAAGATAGCTTCGCGGAAGCAAGTGAAAGAGTATTAAAAGAAAGTTGGATCCGTGCTATATATAGCGATTATATTACGCTTAAATATAGCTTTTGCAGCTTTTCAACTCTTTTACTTTAGCATTAATTTAAGCGCGAAGCACCTTCGAGCTATAAACTAATGTCTGCGATATCTATTTAGCTCGCGCTTTAAAAGTATTCAATACAGCCAGTTTAGCAAATCAAAGCTAGTAATAGCCTTTGACGCTTTTTACGCCGATAACGAAAAGACAAAGCGATCTTTTTAAAAATACATTATGTTTTTATTCGAAGGTGCGATCTTTTAAAAAGCTTTAAAGCAAAATACAATTACTATATCATTTATTAAAGCGGAGCTTCTTAGCATAGCCCTTATAGTGAAAAAGATTATAACGCTTTAACGGTTTTTCAAAAAGCTGCACTTTCGTTTTGCGGCGCTTTAAGTAGTCTATTATAATAATCAATAAACAATCAAGCTTATAGCTAGTGAAAAAAAACGTATTTTTATTAAGCTTCGTTACGTCGATATTCATAATATATAGCTGCGCTAAAAGCATTTAAAGAAGAGCTTTCAAGTTCAATATCTCTTTACTAAAGAAATGCACGCTAACGGTCTTATAAAGAACTTAACTCGACAGAAGTTTAAAAGCTTTATTAAGCTTTTAAATTTATAAAACGCTCGCGCGTCAATCGAAAAGCTTTAATAACACGCATATGCTATTCACTTATTACATTTTATTTTTTTCATTTGCACGTGATTTAAAAAAAAACATTTATTTAATAATCTTAACCGTCATTCTATCTTATCTTACACGCTTTTACTTTTCGCTTTTTATAACAAAAGATCTATTAAAGCTCTTAGCAATCTCTTTACTTTAACCCGGCGCTCCGCAAGAGTTATAGCAACGGCGAGCGCCGCTGCGAGAGCGGTAAGCGCAACGATTAGCGTAAAAAAAGCGACGATAATAAATGCGACGGAAGCGATAAAAGCTGCGAAAGCGACGAGAATAGCGGAAGCGACGAGAGCAACAAAAGCGGCAAGCGCAAAAGCTGTTATAGCAGCAGATTAAAGCTTTTGCATAAAGTCCGAAAAAAAGTTCTAGTCAAAAAAAGCTGCTTAAATTAAATTATTTCGGAAGTCAAAGAGCTTGACTTACGAAAAGTGTGACGACCTTAAGCGATTACTTAAAGGAACTCACGGAAGCGCGGAGGTTCACATAGGAGCTCAGGAGAATCTTAAAGTAATGACTTAGAATTAACAATTACCGAGTGTAGAGGTCGAAGGTAGCTAAAGTCTATATACACGAAGGTAGAAGCGCTAAGGACTCGTAAACTATGGTTCATGGGTCAAAAGCGAGGAATGAGAGAATACGAAGAATACGAAAGGAAAAAGGAAGGAAGTAGCTTGGCGCATATGAGGTGCGTCTAAGAGACTTGGCGTATCGTTATACTACTTCTTCGTTCGAAAAAAGCTCGTTTTTGAGCGTTTATTTATTGCTTTATTACTATTCAAGTGATCGTAGTCATTAACACCGTCCGAATAAGCCTTGATCTAGTCGAGGAGCTTCGCGGGAAGGCCGAAGAGCTTTTTGTGTTTTAAGTGGAAGTCACGTACTTTAAAAAGAGCGTATATGAAGTCGAAAGCGAGGTATTAAGTAAGGTCAATGTCGCGGCCGAGCTAAAAAGCGCGGTACTCGAAGTGCTTTTTAGTTTAGCGCACGGCTAAGATGTTCTTTACTTCGTATTCAAGTTCGCTAGTGATATTAATCGAGTTAAGTTTAAGAATGATTTGCTTAAAGGTAAGGTTATTAAGAGCTTTTCGTAGCCGTCCGAAATAGAAGACTAAGTGAACCTTTATTAACTCGAAGAGCTTGAGTTTAAAGCTGCTATAGACGTTGTCGATAACTTCGAACGGTCCGTTCGTAAGGTTATCGAGCTTCTTTAATAGTCGAGAGGTAAGGAACGGGCGCATATCTAACTAAACTTTATTATTAACGTCGAAGTCAACCGGGCGCTTTGATTTATTAGCTTGTTTGGCTATACGGTCTTAGGCGCGCTAAAGGTGCTCTTTAGCGAGGTTCTAAGCTTCGAGGTGGCGGTTAGCGTAAGCGCGAGCTTCGTTTTAGTTGAGCTTGCGAGAAAAGGTTTAGTCGTTAGGTCGTTTTAAGCTTTAATTTTAAGTGGTCCGGGGGGCGTAGCCGTGAATTACTTTAAAAGGGGAGAGGCCGCCGAAGGAGTCGTGAAAGAGCGTTAATTGGGCGAAGTTTATTATAAAGAGGAACTCGCTTTAATCGTCTTGGTAGTAGCTTACGAAAGGACGGAGGCGCTTTTGCAAGTACTGGTTGTAGATTTCGGTTTGACCGTTAGTCTTAAGGTGTGCGACGGTGCTAAGGGTCAGTTTGGTACCGAGGATTTTATTAAATTCTTTTTAAAACTCAGACTAGTATTAAGGTCTTCTGTTAGAAGTTAGCGTTAGAGGAGCTTTAAAATACTTATAGATATAGTAGATATAGAGCTTGGCGAGGCTTTTGGCGTCGATAGACTTGTGATAAGGGATCGAGATTGCTTGCTTAAAAAAGCGGTCGATTATCACAAAGACGTTGTCGTAGCCGTGTTTGTCTTTATTAAAGCTATAAAAATCTATAGTAACGTGCTTTTAAAAGCGCGAGAAGATCGGGAGAGGTTGGAGCAAGCTAGGTTTTTTATCGCGAGACATTGAAGCTCGTTTGCAAGCGTAGCAATTGCGGTAGTACTAGTTGACGAATCTGGCTATACCGTGCTAGTAGTACTATGCTGCAAGGAGCTTGTAGGTTTTGCGAGAGCTAGGGTGTGCTGTAAATACTTGGTCGTAGACTTTTCGGACGAGTAACGAGCGCAAGTTTTGGACGTCGAGAACTAATAAGCGGCCGTTATAAAGCAGCAGGTCGCCTTTTATAATGAGTTTGGCTCGTGAACCGTGGTTTACGAGTAAGGACTTAGCTTTAAAAGCTTGAATTCGAAGTGCTATAAAACTAAGAGCGGTCCGATTGGCTTTTAAGACTTGGTTAATAACTCGGAATGTAAGTAAGAGCTCCGCGATCTTTTCGATAGTGACGGCGGTTTCCGAGGGCGTAAGTTGGCGTAGCTCTTCGGTTAAGAGTCGTAGGTCAACGTTATCGGCGCGAAGCAGCGTTTGCAAGCGTTGGGTGCGCTTAAGGTTGTTTTAAGAAAAGAGCTTTTCGATGCGACGTATTAGCGCGTCAGCTAGAGGGTTGTTTTTACTTGGCTTGTACGTAATAATAAAGTTGTAGTCGAAGAGGAGCTTTGCTTAGCGTGCTTGACGAGCGTTAAAGGTTTTAGAGGTCATAAAGTACTTTAAGGCTTTATGGTCGGTGATTACTTGAACTTAATGAAAAGAGCCGGCGAGTTCGGCGCGAAAGTTATTAAAAGAGCGTATGATAGCCAGCATCTCTTTATCGTAGACGACGTAGTTAAGCTTAGCGGGAGCTATGGTTTTAAAGTAGTAAGCGATTAGTAGCTAGTCGGGACTATGCTTTTAAGAAAGGACTAAAGCGATTACGCCGTCGAAAGCGTTAGTTTCTAGTATACAAAGGAGGTCTTGGTTATAGTGCTATAAGATTGGCGCAATAGTCAGGGCGAGCTTTAAGAGGTCGAAGCTTTTTTGACATTAAGAATTGAATGAAAAAGGAACGTTAGCTTTAGTCAAGTGTATTAAAGGCTTCGCGATCACGCCGTAGTCTCGAATGAATCGGCGGTAAAAGTTATAAAATCTAAAGAAGCTTTAGACGCTTTTGACGGTCGTGAAAGGCGCTTAATGCTTTATTATCGACGTCTTGTCCGGATCTACTTTTAAGCTTTCGATAGAAATGATAAAGCTTAAGTATTTTACTTTGGTTATGCTGAATTCGCATTTTTTAATATTAGCTTAAAGGCTAGCGTCGTCGAGTCGTTAGAAGACTTAGCGAACGTGGTAAGCGTGCTTCAAAGGGTCGGAAGAATAGATCAAGATGTCGTTTAAATATGCCGTGCAAAAGATGTTTAAGAAGTCGAAGAAGAGGTTATTTATATAGCGTTAGTAAGTGGCGGGTTTATTAATTAATCCGAATGAGAGAACTTTGCACTTGTAAGCATCGTAGCGTGTCTTGAATGTTATGAGCTCTTTTGAAGCTAGGTCCATCCGTATTTTATAAAAAGCTTGCCGAATGTCGAGTTTCGTAAAGATTTTAGCTTTTGAAAGACGTGCGAAGGTCTTATCGATTAAAAGAAAAGGGTATCGATCTTTACGAGTGAGGTTATTTAGCGCGCGGAAGTCAATATAAAAGCGGAAGGAACCGTCTTGCTTTTTAGCAAACAAGACTGGAGCTGCAAATAGCGCTATTAAAAGTTCGATAAAACCTTTATTAAGATTGTCGATAAAGTAAGCTTTAGTAAGCTTTAGCTTAAAGATCGACATCTTGTATAATAGTAAGTACCGAAGCGCTTTTTCTTTTCTTTCGAGAAGCTCGATTTTATAGTCGTAAGGCTTGTATGATGCTAGCACGTTGCTAGCGGCCTTAAAGAATACGTGTGCGTAATCGGAGTATTCGAAAAAGATAGGAAGGTCGTTAATGAGCTCTGACAGTTCCGCTGCAAAGTTAATAGCAAAGATGGAGCCGTTAGTGAAGCGTGTTAGCGATGCTTAATAATCAGCTTAAGTAGAAGCAATCGTTTAACGCTCGGAGATCAAGCAATCGAGCTCGTAAAAGGACGTAAAGAACAGTTTTACGTCTTTTTAGCGAGCGATCATATAGAAAGCGTGTCCGGAAACGCTGTTGATTTTAAGGTTTTTATTGATTTTGTGCTTAGATGTTTGGCGGGAGCGTTTAACGAGTAAAAGAGGTTCTACGGAAGCGATGTCGGTTGATATAAGCTTACGGTTTATTTAAGACATTGATTTAACGTAGTTTTTAGAAAAGGTGTTTTTCGTAAAGCGAGGGAGTGACGGCTTTACGAGAAGGTGAATAAAAAAAGAGAGTTCAACGATCTTAAAAAAGGAAGCGGAAAGAGGACGATTCCGAAGAGAAAGAGGTGATTTAGCGATTATTATTGCTGCTTAATCCGCTCGTGAACTATAGTTCACGAGTGAATTAACGTCGTAAGCTCTTTAAAGGCGGTCTAAGGCTCGATCACGCTTGTTAGCGTCGTGTTAATGACGAGCGTTTACTTTACGCTAGTTAAAGTATGTAATCTTAATAGGTTTAGCGTAAGTGGCGGTCGGAAAGTTAAAACGAAGCTAATAGAGCTTGCGGCGAGCGCAGTTAAGAAGAATCTGGTGCTTAATTAGTTATGCTCGTTCGAAGATTACGCTGTGATTCTTAAGGTTGGTGATAAGAAAAAGAGTAAAGGATTAGACGCGCTTATCAATCGTAAAGTTGAAAAGTGCAAAATGTAAGATAGTGGCTCTACGAGCTCTATTGTATGATTTGACAAGAAATAAGGCCGAGAAGGGTTGAATCAAAGGTTTAAGAAAGAAAGAAAGCGATTTGAATAGCGCTAAGTTAATTAACGCGTACTTATTAGCTTTTAAATCGAGCAAAGCAGATACCTTATACGAAAGGCTATTCTTGGTAAGGGTGACGGGTATAGTCATGGCTTTATTATTAAGGAGCTTCGTAAGGTCGAGGTATCGCATATCTTGAAGCTAGCTTAAGAAAGAAGCTTTGCTTAAGCTTCGACGTTTCCTTTATTATCGGGAGCGTCGGAGTTAGCAGGAGGGAGCTCTTGGTGATCCTTAAGAGCGTCGGAGTAGGGCTTATCGTCCGAGTCATCCGAATAGGGGCCGTATTCAAATCTAGCGTCGTATTCTATCTCGTTGACTGAGTGGTAGCGGGGGAGCTTCGGCGTATTCGAGTCTTTGCGGAACGATCTAAAGGTTTTGATTGCTAACTTAAGGGCGTTTCCGAGAGAAGAGAATTTGTTAGATCGATTGGATCGATTTGCATTAGCGCTAAGGCTATTGAAGGTTTAGCGCTGAAGAGTAAGGAAAGAGACGGGGGTTGAGCTACCTTGGCGGTTTTCGTAATGGGTGATTTGCTTGACCGCTGCTCTTTAAGCCGAGCGGGATTCGTTACGAGCTCTATTATAAGAGCTCTTTGCGAATTAGGTATTATACCTGGCTTGTAAAGCGTCGTAAAGCTTTGCAAACGCGTATTGGCCAGCAGCTAACTGCTGGACGGCGGTCTAGAAGTCCTTGAAAGTTGTAGTCTTAGCAAATTCTAAATAAAGCTGGTCGCGCAGCGTTTTAGTGATCTTAGAACGCAAGGCTTTACGTAATCGGTCTTTGTCTTTGATTTCGGCGGTAGCGGCAAGCTCCGAGAAAATAAGATAGAAGTCTTAAAATTGCTAGTTAAGCTTTATATAAAGTTTTTCGAACTCAATTAACGCTTTGGCCTTCTTAGCGAAGTCGTTCAAGAACTCGAAAGCGATCTAGACGAGTTCCGGGGCGGTTACGAAGTTGCTACGATCTATGATCAAAAGGGCTAAGAACAAGTGAGCTGTTCTTTCGGTTTGGTTAAAGACGTAGTTCTTGCGCTAGCGTTTTGTAAAGAAGTATTCATCGAAAGCTTTTAAGTTGTCGAAGACGCGGGCTTGCTAGTGGCGTGCTCGGTAGCTTATACCGTTTAAGAGCTTTTGTTTAAGGTTAAGGATCCGCTCGATACGAGCGCGACCCTGAGAAGCTGAAGAAGAGGCTCTAAGGGTCTTGAACTTAACTAGAGTACGAAAGTTGATTGGCTTGTAAAGAAAAGGTGGTTTATCGTCGTCGGCGAAAAGGCGGCGAAGGTTAGCGGTTTTATAAGTAGAAGGAGTGGCCTGGGGGACCGAGGGCTTATATGGCTCTTTGCTTTTAGAATTATTTTCGAAGGAAACTTAAGGAAGCTCTGACGAGCGTTCCGTAGTTAGCAAGACCGCTTAAAGCTGGTCTAGTTCCTTTCGAGCTCGACGGGCCTTTTTTTCAGCCTTTTCGGCGAAGGTTTTTTGTTCGCTAACGCTTTTATCGAGCTCTTCGTTGCGGGTTTTTATATCTGCGAAGAGCTTCTTGAGCTTAGCGGCCTTTCGTTAGGACTAAAGGAGAGCTTGGTGTTGGGCCAAAGCTTCTTCGGGGTTAGTAAGGGCCGAAGGATCAATTTCATCGTCTTGCTTACTAGTAGCTTCTTCTTGAGTAAAAGGAACTGCTGGTTAGGCCGTAAAAGAAGAAAAGGGAGCTGCTAGAGCAGCTTTAAAAAGTGTGCGAAGGATTTTGCTCGCGGGGCGAAGGTTGCTGTATTGTGTAAGTGCTATCCTTTAAGTTGTACTTAGAATAGGCTTTCTCGTGACCGTTGAAGTCGTCTAAATGTTTTTTGACGTCTAACTACTAAAGAATTCTAAAAAAAAGGAATATTATTAAAGCCGTTCCCGGCGGAGTGAAATAGTTGTTAATAATATAACGACTTTAAGCGATTACTTAAAGGAACTCACGAAAGCGCGAAGGTTCATATAAGAGCTTAAGAGAATCTTAAAGTAATGACTTAGAATCAACAACTATCGAGTGTAAAAGTCGAAGGTAGCTGAGGTCTATATACACGAAGGTAGAAGCGCTAAGGACTCGTGAACCATGGTTCATGGGTCAAAAGCGGGGAATGAGAAAATACGAAGAATACGAAGGGAAAAAGGAAGGAAGTAGCTTGGCGCATATGAGGTGCGTCCAGGAGACCTGGCGTGTCGTCACAAAAAGGTGATATGCTCGAAGCGCTCCGCGTTACCGGATTACGGTTTGCTGCCACAAGACTATTTAATTTAACAAAGGCTATATTCAAATTAAAAGTCTTAAGAGCAAGAGCAAAACTTGTAAAGCTATCGAGACTACTTTTAAAACCTCTACTTCTATTCGCTAGACCGCCCGGACTATCAGCAGCACTTTTTAAAAGAGTAGCATCTAAAGCGAGCTGTTATCGCATAGCATTTCGAAGACTTCGGCGAACTCTTTATATAGCACTATTGTCCTTAGCGCTTACGAAGTTATCGAAAGCGGTGTTAATAGCGGCAAAAGCAGCGGTATAGTTGTTATAGCTACTTTTAGCACACCGGAGATAGCGTATAACGCTCGTATCGCAATTATAGCAGTCTTTATTAGACCTTGATATAATCTTATTATTGATACACTTGATACACTTTAAAGCTTTAACGGTCGTTAGCATAAGCAAGCGCTTAATAAAAAGGTTTAAAAGAAAAGGCGAAGCTTCGAAAGTAAGAGTGCGTAGTATAGCCGCCGTAGCCGCCGCAGCTGTAATAGCAGCAATAGCTAAAGTAAAGAAAAGATTCTCTTAATAGTTAGCATAAATATATTAATTTGTTAAGAGCACTTACTTTTAAACGGCTTCGGCCGCGCTTAACGATTCTATTAAATTGAATTACTTGCTTAAATAGCATTGTATAAATAGATAAAGGTTAAGTGTTTGTTATAATAGAAAAGAACGCGCTTTTACTTATATAGTAACGCGATAAAGACGGCGCTAAAGACCTCCGCTACGTGATAAGACCGACTTAAGAAAGAATTGCATTCTTGATTAATACTTAATTAATAATAACAACCGCTATTTGTTTGTTTAAATTGCGATAACAATCTCTTTTATTTACATCGAGTTTAAAGAGCTTAATCATTTATTTTTTTTTCTTTTCTATTTGCTTGCAGCTTAGCAGCTACGCTGCTGACTTAAAGGGTGTATTATGCGGAACAAGCATAGTTCTACTTAAGCTGTCGGTATATCCATATCGACCTTAGTTAGTAGTAGTAGTAGTTAAGGAAGCTCACCCGTGAACCATGGTTCACGGGCCACTTGGCATGCCTCGCTTAGCATGTCAGTAATCAAGGGACCCTTAACTTGACAAGTAAACCTATTAGCTAGCTAGTGCACGTGATTCCTTTTAATCGTATAAAAAGAATTAGCTCCTTTGAGCTTTAAAGAGCAAACAGAATTCAAATACTTTATCAACCGAGTGTTTTGCAATTGCAAGTACTTTGACGACCGTTACGACTTTACAAATATATATTCTTAATCGCTTAAAAGCAATTTAATACTAATCAGTGATTGAATTACTATTAAGTGATCAATCATAGAGAAGCTAAGACTTTATAGCGAAGATACTTTTTATTACGATACCTTTTTCTTTTTATAACGGAAGAGCGATTCCGTATTAAGTCGCTTTTTATATTATCGATTTTCTTTATTCTTACGAAAGAGTGATTTCGAACCAAGTCACTTTTATATAACCTTTAAAGCTATAGAGCCGCGCTTGCTATATATAACAAACCTAACTAATACGATCGATTTACGTACGAGCAGACAACTATTATGGCCGATCAAGCAATTAGACTTTTAAGTGGGAAGTCTAGCCGACAAAGAGTAGTAAGGTATTATACCTTTCGAGTCTTATCACCACTTACGGAACCTTTAGCTATTTAGCCAAAAGGATTATTATACTTAAGACTCTTAAGCCTTTCGAAAAGACTAGACGACGAGATATCGAGCATCTTATTTGACTTAAACGAGCTATTATACTGTGGTGGAGTTGGGGCTCTGTATTTGTTTTGTCCATGTATATAGTACTGATGCTAGGCACCTTTGTCACGTGGGTGCGCTGCATGCCCTGGCCCTGCTAAGCACGTGGTTAAGTCACGTGGTTAAGTCACGTGCAGGCTCCTATATAGACGAGTAGTTGGTTCCTCCCTGAACCATCATCACATCACACACAATACAATACACGTACTCATAGCACACATTCGAGTGTCCTTCGATCGTCCTCCTTTTCCCTTCTTATTCACCTACGATTCTATCATAGCTATATTTATACACATCTCTTGATTTGACGTTAAGTATATGTCGGAGCTCTTCCCTTCCACATATATTTGGTGACCTACGCAAGGAATCGAACTAAAGGTTGGTCTTCATACCCCCTTCAGACTTGCTTCTCTTGCGAGAAGCTATATACTCGGAGTTCACGTCATACGCTAGGCTATTGACCATATGCTTTTGCGGTACTCCTTCGAAAGGTATTCGACACACGCTAGGCCAACAGTCAAGTGCTTTTGCATATGAGCTTCGAGACTATTGCTTCAAAGGCGATCTTCTTTCGATTTATATCCGTCGAGCATGCTATTCGGTATACTCGATAAGTACTACTCAAGAAGTCGTTACTCTAGTTCGAGGATCGAGCTGGCTAGAGTTCAATTCGGTATCTACAAAGTACTATTCACTTAGACCATTCTGCACGGCGATACGCCCGAAGTACCATTCGTTTGGTATACTTCACCTCTTCGATTCAACATCGATTCTGGTACGAGTCTACTGTTCTTTCTTCCTTAGAAGGGTGGGCAGTAGCTAGGTACCGGAAATACCACGCCAAGCTTAAAAGGTTGAAAATTCAACACTTACCTCGCAACGGAGATTACGCATAAAGACTCCGAATTGCCTTCGATTATCCTTCGCTTCAGCAAATGAAGGATACGACGAACGGAAATAAGTGTTTGCGATTCGGAACCGTTTCGGTGTCGCATTATACTAAAGGCAGGCCATATGCTTGCACGGAAGCTCGGCTATTACTCGACCTCGTTTCCATTTCGATACACTTAATCTCGGCAATTACTCTTCCGCTCATTACGGATCTTGCGTTACAAAATTAAACGTATCACCAATATCGTTTATTATATCGATTTGGTTTCGACTATCTAGCTCGACGCGATCGACACTCGACTCTCTAATGAATCACTTTCGACGCATCGGGATCTTATATCTTTACAACATTTCTTTGTGTATTTAACATTCATTACAAATTGTACCCATTTCATTTCTGTTATTCATTCATATTCACATCATTCTATCATTCTCGTTTCTTCTTCGCATCCGTTTCGAGACACCTTCACACCTCAATCGACATCTATCAACTCAACCTGGCGGGCTTACGTTAAAGCTCTCGAAAATCAAAAGGAGCTATGACTTTCTCGACTCAAAAGGATTTCGGACTTAGCGAGGATGCTACTCGCAAGATAATCGAGGACGAAGTAAAGAGGATTCAAGCCCTCTTACCCCTCGTAAATGCTCCGAATTACGTGAGTATCCGTAGACCTCTCCCTGGACCTAGAACCCTTAGAATGCTTGCTTTTGACAAAGCCAACATCACGGACCACATTCGCCAGCTCGAACGAGCGTTTAAAGACTACGGTATCGTTACCGATTCGGAGAAGAAGCAATGCTTTGCTGAATACAATATTTCTGGCCCTCTCGGTTACAACATACGTTGCAATATTAAGAGCCTCGGTAGCTTTTCGGATCCGAAGGTGACCTGGGACGACTTCAAATCGATGGTCAAGGAGGAGTACAAGGCTTTCGACCTAGCTAAGTAGAAGGATAGTATTAGCTTCTTGAACGACTTGAGCAATAAGTGGATAGCAAAGGAAGGAGCCTCTAAGGCGGAGCTTCTACAGTTCACTCGACAGTTCAACCTTACGGGCCTTGCTTGCCTAACCAATAAGAATATTACCGACAAGCAGCTGAAATGGAAGTTCTTCGGTTGCTTACCACTATCGATGCAGAATCGGACCTAAAAGAACGTCAAACTTAAAGAAGATCACCTGCAAACGTATAATATAATGTATACTATGGTTAGCGACCTAATTAAGCAAGAACAGATCACTGCGGAACGGATCAAAGAATACAGCTACGCCGAGATCCTTGAAGCTTTTTCTCGTTATGACTTTTATTAAAACGAGAACTCTCGTCTCCAGGTACCGTCTGTCATTCCCGAAAGCAAGCGAAACCCATACGTTTCGCTCCTTTATAGCACTTACTCCGGTGGTACCTATGCCCCTTTTTCTTACCGCGCAAGCACCACCGCTGCGAATTCGATTACCCCGTTCATCGATCTTGACCTAAAGATCGAAGCTCTTACGGAACAGCTAGCGAAAGTTAGTATTCACTTAAGACTCACCGACAGCTTCGCCCCCGTACTAAAGGAGGCCTATGTGAACCTATTAGAAGCTGCCCAATATAAAGAGACTCAAGAGATCGCTTTGCACCGGGTCCACGAGATCAATGCGGCCGACACCTATTCGAACCGAAGCTACGCCACATCGAAGGGGAAACGGTCCTCAAACGATTCTAACTGCATTTTCTATTAGTGCCAGCAAACTTCTGACCTACTTGGCTATCAACAAAAGCCTTATAAATACCAGAATCAGTGCCACTTGTTTATGCTTTGGTACGGACTAGCTTTTCACTTTAACGAAGCGGACTTGATATATGTAAGACCGTACCGAAAAGAGATACTATCGATCCCGTTTCAGTTCCGAAACGACACCTTTAAGTACGAGCAAGTTCTGGAAAGGGTTCGTAAGACAATAAATGATCTTAATCTTAAGCGTCGTCATAAAGCTTTAAAAGCATAACGAGAATCTATTAAAGAAGCTGCACGGGAACGCGCCAAGGCGCTTATTCGAGCAGCTAACGGCGGCAATGCGGAGGCCTTTCGTATTAACGACTTCAATACTTCGGACATGATTCGCCAACGATGCATCACATTAGCGGATTCACATGCCCGCGTGTTTAATACGGAAGCTACTATTGCACCGGTAGAGACTCGAGCGCGTAACGCAGCCTTTCGAGTTACGTTATACTCGCTAAAAGACGCTCTTTCGGCAAAAGCAAAAGTCCAATCCACTTATAGCCAGCTTAAGGTTACCTTCGCTGAGCCAATGGAAATAGATAAACCCGAGCCCGCTTACACCGCGATTCTTAACCGAAACGCCTTACGACCGGAGGACTTACGGAATCTGCCCGTCACACTGCTAAAAGCTCTTAAAGCTGCACCTAAGCCTAAGGCTAAGCTTTCTAAGACTGCCAAATCATACGAAAGGCTTGGCAAGGTGATCTCTTTCTTGGGAATGGACTACGAAGCGACTCGTATTAAGCTCCTAAAAAGGCGCGATTTGCCAAGGAACCTAACTCTTAGTAAGACTATTGCGTTCCTCGCTGCTCCTTCTACTTCCAAACGATCTTCTTCCGAAGGTATGATCGATAAGATGATTCAGCAAACCTCTACTAGCGAGAGCGCTATTAACTGCCTTTAGGCTACGGTTGGCGTTGCGGAAGCTTCGGAGGATTGCCTGATCATAAGTAGCAAGCTTATACTAAAGGCGACGGATGATCCGGTAAGAGACGGACCTGCTTCGAGGCCTTAAAGACCTATTTAAAGAGAAAGTAATATCTCTTTATCTGGTAGCGATCTATTTTGCAGAGTAACGGGTCGCTTTATCAGTGAAGCGCTTTATCGCAAGAATTTACCCCTTCTTTTTTCTTTTGCTACTTCGACTCACGGCCGAATCACCGGAAAAGCAGACCTTATACAAGTCTTTGCCCGGCTAAGACGGATCTTACATCGAAATGCCACTGCTTAGCGGTCTTGGCTTAAACGCTTATTCGAATTCTCTTAGATGACCAAGCCTTAATTGCAAAAGAACATCCGTAGCAGCTAGACGAAGCACCGCCGACGCAATACGCTTCTCGCGCTCGAATCTCCTTCGATTTAAAGACGGTTCTGCTTTATTTTTATTATCGGCCTTATTCCGACTCTCTTTACAGCTATATTCTACGGTGTTTTCTGGTTCCAACATCTCTTTTTCGATTGGTTTACTCGTAAGGATCGGCGTACCTTGCGAACCGCAGACGAGAGTAATACGGAACTTTTTTCGGCGGAAATCGGCTTTGCTTCGACGTTCGGCTAGCCATTCTCTAGATACTCTTATTATTATTCGCCAACTCTTAAGGTCATCGTTAGTATTCTCGGACAATCCTTTATTACTGATGCGCGAGCTATACTCGATACAGGTGCGGAAGTCAGCGTTATCACCTACGACGCTGCGGTTAAATTCGAAGTCCTTATAGCTTACGACTAAGAGATAGGCCTCCGAACAATCACCGGTTCACTATCGCGTTTTATCGGATACGCCGATAATATGTTTGTCAACATCGGAGGTGCTACGATCCGTACTCGATTCTACGTTATAGATTCGCTAAGGTTTCGACTTATACTCGATTACCTTTTCATACGCAAAGCAAGAATCGGTCTTCGATACCCTTCGGACCATAAGGGTGGCCTTGTTATTACTATAATTACTAATCCGTCTACGGGCTAAGTTACTCAAGCTAAAGTGAGCGATAAGACGAATCAATACGACGAAGCCGTCGATCGCTTAAAGGAACAGAGTATAAGCCTTATCTACCACGATAAGTCTTCGAGTAGCAGCGGTAGCGACTCGGAAAACTAATGACCGGCCTCGTTGGAAGCGCCGAAGTCGGTACACTAGAAGCTTCTTGCTTTTCGCTCAGTTTCGAAAGCGAAACGTTGCAGCATCGAGAGAAGGACGACTCTATTACTTGAGAGCAGTTTATCGATGTTCTTGCCTTTATAGAATGCGATCTATGCGATCCTTTAACAACCTGCTAGATAAATGCCGTCAGCACCGATAACCTTATGACCCGCTGCTACGATCATATCGACTACTAGAATTCGACACTTTATCGGACCCGAAAAGAGATCTCTTCGGACTCGGCTAAAGTATTCGGCATATACAAGACCAAGGATAAAAAGATCAGGCTAATTAACGAAGCAGACGGCGTAAGAGCAGCACTAAGTGGCAAGGTTGATTAGTACGAGCTATCGAAGGCCAAAGATACGCCACAAGAGCAGGTAAGAAAATACAAGCAATACCTCCTTTCGCGCATTGCCGATATACCGAGAGGCTCCCGAATCACACCCGAACGGATAGCGAACCTGGATATCGGTAATACCTTACGGCTTAAGGAAAAGGATTTGTTTAAGGAGATGATGCTGAGCAAAGAAAAATCAATCGCATTCGCTTAGCAAGAGTGCGGTAAGTTCTACGACGACGTTTCACTACCGATTAAGCTCAAAACCATCTCACACACGGCTTGGCAGGCTCTTAACTACTCGTGTCTAAAGGCTCTACAGCTTATTGTCATCAAAATGCTCCAAGACAAGCTTGATAAAAGAGTTCTAGAGTATTGCGAAAAACCGTACCGGAATCAATGGTTCTTAATAGCTAAGAAGCAGCCGGGCCAGTATCGACTCATCAACTTAGCAACTCTACTTAATGCAATTATACGGAAGGACGCCAATCTACCCTTAATTGTAAATGAGTTTGCTAAAGAGTTTTCTGGTTGCCAGATGGCTAGCTTAGTCGACCTTTATTCGGGCTATGATCAGCAAACACTCTATCAGTCGAATAAAGACCTTACCGCCTTTTTCACACCGTTAAGTCTCTTCCGATGCACTACCCTCTCGCAAAGTGCTATAAACTCGATGGCCCAATTCGTCCGAACAATCAATTTCATCTTAGGTCCCTTGCAACCCAAAGTCTCTATGCTATTTGTCGACGATATTAAGGTAAAAGGACTACAAACGGACTATTCCGACGAAGAAGCACTCTCGAGTATACGCCGATTCGTGCTCGAACACATTTAAAACATCGACAAGACCTTAGAACGGATTAAGCGCGCTAGTGCTACAATCGAAGAAAAGTCATAGTTCTGCCGGGATAAGATGAATGTAGTAAGATTCGTATGCAATTCGAAGGGTCGGGAACCCGCTGCGAATAAGGTTATTAAGATCAATAACTAGAAAACCCTCGAAAACGTTACTAAGGTTAAAAGATTTCTAGGCTTTTACTTTTACTTCCGCATCTAGGTCAAAGGATTCGCATATATTGCTGACCCTTTTTACAACCTTACAAAAAAGGATATGGATTAGCAATGGACCGAAGCGCATTCGAAAGCTATACGAATGCTACAAGATGCTTTGACGACGGCTCCGGTTTTGATCAAGATCGATTACGAAGACTAAAACAAGGAAATAGTAGTAAGAACGGACGCTAACCTAAAAGGATAAAGAGGATATATCGGCCAACGCGAGACTACTTCTGGCAAAGTGCAACCGGCTCGGTACGAATCCGGAGCTTAGACGGAAGCAGAACGGAATTACGACGCTATCAAACGAAAGTGCCGCGAGGTACTCAAAGTCTTTAAGAAACTCAAGCTATAGATTATCGGAGTGCACTTTATCTTCGAGACTAACGCTAAAGTGCTTGTTGCTTAGCTTCGACGAAGAGCTATCGATATACCTTCGGCCTTAGTTATACGCTAGCTAGCTTGGATCAATCTTTTCGACTTTAAGGTCCGACATGTCCTCGATAAGGATCATACCGCTGCCGATGCACTATCGAGACGGCCACGGCACCCCGATGATTCAAGCGAAGAGGATGAGAATGAGTTCGATGATAGCTTATTAGCCGACTTAAGACCTATTAAGGCCCGAGACGGCTCCGAAGGACTTTCGACGGACCCTTTAATAGATATTCGCTAATCTATCTTTAAAGACATGTTTTAACGCTCGAAAGAAGCGGAGAATGCAAACTTAGACGAGTCTGACGACGACTACGATTACGAGGGTCTTTTGAACTTAATCGAATACTTTTCGAAATCAATTCGGATAGCTACTTTCTTAACGACCTTGCAAAGACTTAAGGACCTGAACAAAGTGGAATGCCGTAAGTTCAAAAAGGAGGCTATTAAATACGGGGTGAACGATAAGAAACTTTAAAGACTCTCGACGAAAGGTCTTCTCCTCCGATTAGTGGTCGATAAGCCCTCGATTAAGACGGACATTATCACGGCTTGTCACGATAAGAGTAGTCATAAGGGCCGTGAATTAACTTACTACCGTGTATCTCAGCGCTACTTTTGGAATGGATGCTATACGGACGTCAAACGATTCGTTAAGACTTGTAAGGAATGCTAGCATCGAGCAGCCAATAGGCTCGAAGAGCTACTGCATCCTACCCGATCTAATAGCTTAATAGAACGTTAAGCTATCGATATCACTCATCTACTTGCACGCGATAGCAAGAGCTACTTAGTTGTTACTAAAGACGATATGAGTGGATAGGTCGAAGCGAGGGCGATTCGGACCCGAGACTCGCTCTCGGTAGCTAAGTTTATTTAAGAAGACATTATTTGCCGCTATAAGATTTTCTTTCAGCTGACAGTCGACGGAGGTTCGGAGTTTAAAAAAGAGGTAATCGACCTACTTAACAATTAAAGAATCAATCGAGTCGTGGTTTTAGCATACTACCCTTAAGCGAATAGAATGGTAGAACGCGGCCACGGACTAATTAAAGACGCATTAAGTAAGCTTAGAAGCACCGACTGGATTGCGCAATTGCTAGCCGTCTTATTCGCCGACCGCACTTCGATGCATACTCCTACCGGATTCACCCTTTTTTACATAGTGTACGGCAAGGAAGCAATGTTTCCGATTAAGACCCGAATCCGGTCTTAAGCCACGTTATTTCAAGAGCTAGTAACTAATCGTGCTAAGCTTATCGAGTTGAAGGCACGCTAGTTCCGGATGCGAGACGAAGACGCTACGGAGGCTACACTCAAGAAAACCCGCTGCCGCTAAGAAGGAAAAGATGCTTTTGATAGTAAGAAGAACCTCCGAATCAAACCTTTAGAAGTAAGTGACTTGGTCCTTAAGCACGACTCGATACGTGAAGTGGATATGTCCAACGTTAAGAAGCTGGATTTTCGATGGCTTAGCCCTTACTAAATTTCGTCGGTAAATACAAAAGGATACTACAAGTTGAAAGAGCTAAAAGAGGACGGGGCCTTGCTAGACGGAACATTTGCCGGCAATCGATTAAAGAAGTTCTACGTGCGATACACCCTCGAAGCGTCACCACTTCGCCTTAAGCCTTACACAAAGAGATCCTCAGAACAGCTTTCACTAGATGAAGTGGCCGAGTCCGGCCCCTAGATCAAGCGCTTAGATGGATTTGTTATTCGATTACCTAGCCTTACGGAGGAGCAACGGAGCCAATACGCAAGAGTCTCTGTGAGCAATGATGAAGAAGCAACAAAGAGTGATTAAGTCATGAAGGCATGACTATACGTAAAGGAGGGGTCGAGTTTGGATTTGATTTTTGATTTTTTCTTTGTTTGAGTTTGGTTTTCCTTGTTTTCCTTCTTCTTACACTCTTTTTATTTCCTTCTTTGTATTAAAGAGCTTTACGTTATCACACTTATATGCCCTCGATCTATTATATACGAGCATATCACATACACAAAGCGGACCTTACTCGGAGGCTGATTAAGAAGAGCATACGAAAAATCCATTGCATTAACTACCTAGCAAGCTGCCGACACGCGATAAAAACCCCTCCGACCTCACAACTCAAGGCTAGGTGGAATAGTGCGAGAGCCCCCCGCAGCACCTTAAGCACTGCTCTCACCCCTCGAAGTCTTACCGATGTTGCTACGACTCGAACCCTTCGTAGAACCACGGGTATTGCTACGGCTAGAACCTCGCGAAGAGGAACCACCGGTATTGCCGCGATTGGAAGCTTAGCGGGCACTTCGGCGGAGCTTCTTTGCTTAAGGAAGTGCTAGCGATTCTAAAGATAAAGATAAAAGAGACGAAGACTTTTCGGCAATCTATCGTAGTCAGATCGGAAAGAAATCACAAAGGGTTCGCAACATACACTTACGCGACTAAGGAAGTTACTTAGTAAGGTATTGTTTCGATCTACTGCAGCCAAGATCTAACGCAGCAGGTCTAGCGAAGCTGGATCGGCGGTAGCAGCGGCGGCAAGTAAGCGTAACGCCGGGACGGGACCCAAGCTAGCCAAGGGACCTCCAGCATTAGCGGCGGCAAGGGAAGCAGCGGCGACACGGGCCCGAAGAAAGGAAGAAGCATCACCAACTCGAGAGGCGAAAGCACGGCGGGTCTTTATAAAGAAGTTATTTGCAACTGTGCCCTTACGAAAAACGTCGTCGGCCGTCCTAGTTCTATTATCTATGGCCGTCATCGCATCCATCAAGACTATGCCGGCACTAACGACTTCTGCAAAGAGCTATCGAATCGGAGTTAGAACGAGTGTAAGACGGAGGGTAAGATAACTTACGGAAATGCAAGTTGACTTGATAGTACGGCAACGCTCGCATTTGATAGATTTGTCAGCGAAGAAGATGCACCGACTCGCAGCATTATCGATAGTTCTGCTTGCGTAGCTCACGCATCGAAAGCAGATCGACAACATGATAGTAAAAGATAAAGTTAATAAGTGGTAATGCTGAAAAGAAGATGGAAAGGTGTAAGGTTGATATAAGAAGAAAGTACTGTTTATAGTAAGACCTCGAGTATATACTGCCGCCTTTGTTTTCTTTGTCACGTTACCGCCTTAGGCCCCGCGCTACTACCGATTCGGCAGTGCGTCACCACTTGACCGCCCAAACCGGCGCACGCCTGTCTTGACAACAATACTAACGCTCGGGTTGATATTGTTCTTGTAGTTGAATAAAAGAGCTACAAAGGATATGAAAGGGAGTTAGACCCGGAGGATTATCTTATATTCTCGTTGCTATTCTTATCTTCTTTGTTATATCATATACGCCCCGTACTAACACCGATCCGGCGATGCATCATTGAGTAGTACTTTAAGACCGTATTGCGACTATGCAATTCGGCCACATGCTCGTCTTGCAAACCCAACCCTACCACCTTGATAAGAGGTGACTCGAAGGCGAGTCTGATTCGAAGGAGGGACGTATATAGTGGAGTTAAGGCTCTGTATTTGTTTTGTCCATGTATATAGTACTGATGCTAAGCACCTTTGTCACGTAGGTGCGCTGCATGCCCTGGCCTTGCTAAGCACGTGGTTAGGTCACGTGGTTAGGTCACGTGCAGGCTCTTATATAGACGAGTAGTTGGTTCCTCCCTGAACCATCATCACATCACACACAATACAATACACGTACTTATAGCACACATTCGAGTGTCCTTCGATCGTCTTCCTTTTCCCCCCTTATTCACCTACGATTCTATCATGGCTATATTCATACACATCTCTTGATTTGACGTTAGGTATATGTCGGAGCTCTTCCCCTCCACAATACGCAAGGCTCGATAGTGAGATTACGGCCCGAGCAATAGTAAAAGACTTCTTGGATGCGAAGTGTAAAGGGCTAAAGGATTACGACTTATAAAGCTTATTCCGGCACGCTTTCTTACGCTAGGATTAAACGAGTTTTACGATAACGGGAGATAATACGAGACGAAGCTTTAAGTTTGCTACTTTTATTAGCTTTAAGGAACACTTGATGTTTAAAAGCGTATGGTGCCTTTTAAAGCAAAAGGGCTACGCTAATAAGATGGTCAAGCTTTTGAACGACGAGCAGCAATATTAATAGACTTTCTAAGAAATAAAAGAGTAATAAGCAATACTCTTAAGCTTCGATTTAAGATGGACCGCCGAAAACCTTACGAACGATGAAGATATTATACCTTAACTACCTTTACTTTCGCGCAGTTTAAAAAGGAAAGAAAAAGAGACTATAAGCAAGAAAGAAGAAAAGAAAGAGATTCGGAAGTTACGCGAAGAATTTGCGAAAGAGAAGAAGAATATAAAGCAAAATATAAAAGTGATAACAAAGCAAATAGCGGAATTACGGACTTACGTTATATAATCTAACGAAAGGCTACGACGAAACGCTTTAGCGTACTCGACGCTTTTAATTTATTAATCGCTACGCAATACGCTAATCATATAAGAAGAGCTAAAATCATTTTAGCAGCTTTTAAACCTTTTTTTTAAGAGCTACAACCGGGTTTCCTTAAAGCCAAGACCGAGTAGCAACAACAACGGCCTCGAAGATATAATCGGGCTTGATAATACGCATAGCAATAGCAGCTATACGCTAAAAGACGACTTATTAAAACTTAAAAGCATTCCGAATAAAATCAGCTCTTATTAAGGACAGCGTGCAGATTTCCGTGCTTAACCTTAATAACTCGAAAAGGAGATCTAGCACTTTCGGACGTACTAACAAGCTTTTTAAATCTTTTAATAAGCTACGTATCGATAAAAAGGATATAAAAGGTATAAGAATCGTTAAGAGCGTGCTTAAGGGTACGGATATCATTAAGCTAGAGCCTTAGCCGATGACTCGAATGGCTTTAGCGATTTTAACGATGACCGACGAAGAAAGAACGAAAGAGATTAATAAAGAGATCGAGGCTACGGATACGAAAGAAGTAGGAACGGCTTTCTTAGACTATTAAAAAGATTCGGAAACGGACTTTTAAAGGACTTCGGATTCGGAAATAAGCCTTTTAAAGACCTTAAAAAAAGACGGACCACCGGCAACTATATCGGTAACTTTTTACCGATCAGACTATTAGTTAAGCAAAGTACGCTTGCGTACGGCATTTTAAGCGCTTTTAACGATGATAGAAACGATTTCCTTAAGTTAAAAGTAGCAAACCTTTATTTAAAAGCGAAAGAATTAGCTTTGTTCGCGCGAAGCTTTCTTAAAGAGCTGAAGTACTTAAGACTCGACGATGATTTTAAGACTTAATTAAAGATTTTTGCTAATTAAGCAAGTCGATACGGTTTGACTTTCGACGATTACTTAGCGGCGTTTTTAATTATGCTTACGAAAGAAGCTATAACCTTTTATTATAATCATGTGATCAAGGCCAAGCTTTTTACGTTTAAAGCAAACGCTATTGCGGTAAAGGACTACTTCGAGACTGACTACCGGCGGCAAGCAAAATACGACCGCTAAAAGGAAATTTCGTTAGATTTGATTAAAAAAGAGAATCTAAAGACCTCGCTTAGCGAGTGCTTTAAGAAGCTCGCTAAAGAGCTTAAAGGGATTTAAAGCTCTTTACGACCAGGTTTAAAGGACGATCGAAGTCTTGTTAATAAGCTGTATTCAACTTGTAAAAACGTGCTAGAAACTACGATTGCGCGAATGAACTTTGCTTTTACTTTTACCGCCGTAATTGCCGATATTCGCAAAGCTATTACGTTTGCAACTAAGACTTCCCGACCTTTCGCTAAGGCAAATAGAGCTTACGCGAGCTCTAGCGAGCTACACGATTATACCTGCTTTTACAATACCTTAAAGGTTGACTCCGATTTAGACGAAGAATACGAATGCTTTATTTAAGACCGCTAATACTTCGGAAGTAAGAAAGCTGCTAAAGCTATTATTAAAAGTAAGAAAAGGTGTTTTATTTGCAAAAAGCTAGGTTGTTAAAGCATTAACTATACTTTCGACGAGAGAAAAGCATCCGTCGCCAAGTTCTAAGCTTTTAAAGACGCAAAAAAGGTGACGAAAAGCAAATTTTTTTAATACGTAGCATCGATCGAAAGCTTGCTATTTGTATTTACGAAAGAATTCGATCAGTTTATCGCAGGCTTACTAAACGAGCCGTTCGAATCGAGCAGTTACGCTAATATATCAAAAGGTTTTGTGATTACTTATAGCACTTTTAACGCTAACGAAGTATATAAACAACTAAAGATTCAAACGGCATTCTACGCTTTTACTAGCTAAGTAGAGACTTAAAAGATGCTCGAGCAAGATCCGCGTATGCTCGCGGGCAAAGCAAAGACTTATATAGCTTTTAAGTATTCGGAAAACGTATTTATAAGCTTTATAATTGACAGCGGAGCAGCTAATTTCTTTACCGCTAGCTTGCTTTAGTTACGAGCACTTTAAAAAAGATACTTCGAGGTTTAATTAGATACATCTCGAGCAAAAGAGAAGTCCGTTAAATACGGCATCGGCTTTGCTACTTCGATTAGAACAGTTACTTTAAAAACACTTTTAGGTCAAGTGGAGTTCTACGTTATAGAAAGCGACGTACCTTTCTTAGTCTTATTAGCTGACATAGACAAGTATAAAGTGATCTTAGATAACTTACGGAACGTGTTAGTTTAAAGAAAAAAAGAAATACTAATAGTAAAGATGTTTAAGCACGTATAAATGCTATTAAGTAAAGAGCACGCTGCTATTGTAAACACCCTGCCTGATGGGGTACCTGCCATGGCCACTAAGGCCACACTAGACGGACCCATCTTCTATAAAAGGGCACACATCTCTTAGCTAGAACAATCAACGAGCTTTCCACCCACCTTTTCTAACACTTCTTTTGTAAGACCATGAAGTCTAGCCTCAGAGCCAGGCTTCTATACAGTACATCTTTTGGGGTGCTTCTACATTAGTGACCTACGCAAGGATTCAAACCTTTGGTCTTTGTCCTTATATAGCCCATTACAATCGCTTGATTCGCAGTCAAGTTGATCTTCGTTCATTCAGCACTTCACTTTACAACTACGACTTCAAAACAATCAAAACCTTATTCCCGATAAGTTCGGACACCGAAACGCCGAAATGGCCGAAGTGCAATATTTCGGCTCCCCGGCAAAAACTCTCTTCTATTGTCAATAAGAAAGAATTTTCACTCATTAATGAAAATATCCTTTTATACCTTAGCTCTTATCTTGAATTAAAGCAATTGACATAGTCCGAAGTTGTTAGCGAAGCTAATCAATTGATTCTTAAGTTTTTCATAGTTCTGATCTTGTCTATTAGTTTACCTTTGCAAAAGGTCTACTCTTTCTAATCTCGGATCGAGAATACTTTACGAAAATCGCTTATTTTACTCGTGAACTCGGTTTACGAATTAAAATCAAACAATTCAAAAACTTTTTATCAACCCGATTATTCTTAGCACACACACATGTCTGATCCTTAGAATACCGAAAACCTTCTTAAGATTTCTGACATCGAAGTCGGCGCCGCGTCACCTTCCTTTTCGTTAGAATCCTTTGAATTTGTTGAATCCTTTAGTCGTATTCTTATAGGCTTCGGACCAGCCTTATCCTACTTCGACCTTTAACCAGAACCCTTACCTCTACTTCCATCGGAAACACTTGCTCCGGAAATGCTTCCCAAAATAAACACCGGTCCTAAGATCTATACCACTCCTCCTCCTCCTGCCCCTCTTGCTCTTTCACTAAGCCTTGCGCCAGTTATAGTCGACCTTGCCATCTTCCACGCTTTCATGACTACTCGCATGCTATTACTAAGTGCCTTAAGAGCTCTTTGCTTCAGTGGTGCTAACATCACCGACTTCATCGAAAAGTACAAGGAGACTTATAAAGACTTTAGTATCCTTTAAGACGATCGGTTTATCAAACTCCTTTGTTACTGCGATAACCCTCGCAAAGAGGTTATCAAGAGCTTGCTCGAATAGAAAGCCAAGAAAGATTAAGCTGCTCTCGTCAAGGCCTTAAGAGCCGAGTTTCGTAAAAACGATACTTAGCAGATTAAAGACTCAATCGCTTTCTTGCGGGAATTTGCTATGCAAGAACGGGATGTCAATGACTTGAAAAACTATTATCGCACTTTCTCTCGGGTTTCCGAAAGACTTACTTTAATGCACCTCTTAAGCAAAACCGAACAAAGCCGCTTGTTCTTTCTCGGATTGCTCGTCGGAATCCGAAACAAAACGATCAAGCATTATAAAGTCGACGAACTCGACTTAGACTTTTATGCCGCTTTCGACGACTTCGTCGCATTCGCTTTTAAAACCGACTAAAGTGCTAAGACTATCGAAGCTATGAATCGAGAGAAGTCTCTTTTAGCTAACTTCACTAAAGATATTCGGACCTTGGTCAAGGAACACACCGAGCTAGCCAGCGTTCTTGAGTCTGCTAAGAAAGCCTTAATAGTAATGCCGTTTACTCGTGAACCATAGTTCACGAGTGAAAAAGAAGGAATTAACAAAGTAGGTTTTATAATTAAAAAGTTTTCTAACTTGCAGATCGGTGCGATTCATAATCGAATTGATTACCTCGAAGATTAAATCGCTAACTTAACTTCCCGACGTCTTGTCTAGTCTTAGCCTTAAGTTCGATTCGAAGACTACGACGAAGCCCTTACTAAGTATACCGCTTAAGATGCCCGAAGTAAGGTCAGCTTCGGAAGTAGAGTTCAGATTGCTGCTATCGGCTACGGATTATAAGGACGAAGAAGAAAAGGAGGTAAAGGATACGGGAACCAGATGCAAGACTATAGCTTCTGCGAGAACTCCGAGGACACAACTCAAGCTCTTTATCAATACCGGGATAAGTATGAAGCCTTTAAAGATATAGTCAATAAAAGATGTATTTATATCAATGATTACGGACGCCTTTGCTTAAGACTTAAAAGGATCGGTGCCTTTATCATCTAGAAGAAGCAGGGAAAGACTTGGTTCAGATCTATCGTACTAAACGTTCGTAAGACGGAATACGATAACATCCTAGAGAATCGGCTTACTAGCGGACCTGGGACCTATAGACACTTACTCTCTTATCAACAACCAATCCAACAGCTAGCTTAGTATCAGCCCGATCAAAATGTTCAGCAACCAACCAACTAGCCAAGAAAGCCTACCATTATTCTTAAAAGACTAGTCGACATCAAAAATATCAATACTATTAGATAGATCAATACGCTTAGCCACCTATCTAGCATAAAGGTTGCTTCGGTCGAGATCAACGCCGCCGCAAAAGACAAAGCTAAGAAGCCTTTCTAGCCCTCGGAAGGATCTAAGCTCACTAGGATCAAGAAGAATGTCCGATAACAAAAGGAGAAGAACTACGGCACTCTTAAAGCCCGTGCCTCTTAAGAATCGGGTACTGCTGTAAAGATAGACTCGGAGGATAGGCTGTTCGATGGTTTAATTAAAGAAGAGTCTTCTGGACCTTCTGGACCAATTAGAGCCGACGAAGCTATGGAGGATATGGAAAGAGAGGTTGAGATCACTTAGCGAGTACCAAAAGGAAGGAAGAAAAGGACCTATAGATAAGAGAAGTTCATTGACCTTTACGTTATTATTAAAGCTTAAGAAAAAGCAGTGGCGGCGATTATAAAATCGAGAATCGAAGTCCAAATTAAAAACCTGTTCGGACTCAGCTCTCGTTTCGACAGGCTATTAAGCCACCATATTCCAGTGGTCTTCGATGCTAAGGAAAACGTAAAGGTCTTTTAAGGTAAGCCTATTTTTGTGAACGCCTTAACTGTTAGACGTCTAAATCGGAATAAGGAAGGCAAGCTAGACCTCTTAGCGACGCAAATCCGCAAATAATTTATCGCTCGCAATTGCTTCGAGGTGGCGATAAAAACCTTAAAGGTTTTCATTAATATCGACGGTATAATCAAAAGCAGATCCCTCTTCGATAGTAGATCTAAGGTCAACGTAATGAACAAAGAAGTGGCTGAGATAGCTAAACTACTTATTATAACGGATCGAGCTTTAGTTTATACTATTGTATTTAAAGATCTTTACAACTTCAATAAGTAGATAAACGACGTTGAAGTCATTATCGGCGGAATCATTAACTACGCCGATTTCTTTATTATTAATAATAGCAGTCACGAGGTCATCTTAAGCATGCTTTTTTTCTTAGAATCTTAACTCTCTTTTTCTTACCCCGATAATAGCACGATAAAAGCCTCTTTTTAGAACCACGATCGATCCACTTAAGGCTAGATTACTATTGCAAGGGACAAGTCGGATTTGGTCGAAGACCCGGGAAACTAGTCGCTAGCATGCAGGCTAAGATGGATGCTAAGCTAAAAGGAAGCTTAGAAAGAAATTCCGCCCGTGAACTATAGTTCACGAATAAATCGGTACAAAAACAACAAAATCATAAAAAAACAATTCAACTTAATACTGAGCAAGGCTTATTAAAATCAAAAACACTAAAAATATTTGTAATCAAACTCGACAAATCAGAAAATTTTATATTTATTATCGACAACGATAAAGACCTTTTAAGAAGGAATGTGGTAAAGGTTAATACGATGTACAAAAGGAAGGCGGAAAAGGTCAGACCGATGGATTTAAGAGTGTCGGATGGAAAGATACTTGGAAAGATCGACGATTAATTCGAGCAAGATGAGAAAGCGAAACCTTTTAAGCTTAGAAGACCTTTTTCGGAATACCTTACTAGCAGGTTTTCAAACTTGAAAGTTGGATCAAGATTGACGAAGGAACGATTCGAAGCACTTACGATTAGCTTTTAAGTCACCTCGGAAGAAAGAGAGCTGCTTTACTAATGCCTTTTGAATCGAGAAGAAGCGATAGCCTAAGATTTTACTTATCTTGGCCAGGTCCGGAAGGAAGTCATGCCGCCTTAAAAGATCAAGACGGTGCTTTACGAAGCCTAGCAAGAGAAGACGTTTACGATACCGAAGGCTTTGCAAAAGATGGTCATCTTTATGCTAAAGGAACGATTAAAGCAAAAGGTCTTCGAACTATGCTAAGGCCTTTACCGAAACAAGTGGTTCATTATAGCGAAGAAAGAGAAGGGAAAATACAAGTTGATCACTATTGTAATTAAGATGAACCGTGTGACGATTAAAGACGTTAATATTGCTTCGAACGTAGACTAGTTCTCGAACGAATTTGCTAGTCTTACGATAGCTATACTCTTGGATTTCTTCTTTAGATACGATCAATTCCTTTTCGACGTTGAGTCTAAGGACATGATAGCTATTCAAACGCTTATCGGACTGCTTCGGATGACCCGGATACTTATAAGAGCTACTAATTCGATCGCCCAATTCGTTAAGGTCATCTACAAGATCCTTATAGACTGCATTCCTAACGTTTGCTTGCTTTACATAAATGACGTAAGAGTTAAAAGATCGCGATCTTTTTATAATTACGAAGAAGTTTTGCCCGGAATTCGACGATTCGTCTTAAAGCACATTTAAAATATCGACAAAGTGCTCGTAAGGTTTAAAAAAGCTAAGACGACCGTCGGAACGAAATCTTAATATTGTATGCTTGGCCTTAATATCGTTGGATTCGTCATAGATAGCGAAGGACGCTACCCTTAAACCGCTAAAATTGAGAAGATATTAGAATGGATTAAGTGCGAGGACGTATCGGAAGCCCGAGCTTTTATTAGCATCGTAGTTTATTATAGAATCTAGATCAAAAACTTCTTTACGATTGCTGCCTTAATCTACGCGACGATGAGAAAGGGGGTCGAATTCGAGTGGTTAGAGCCTTAGCAGGAAGCGATAAGGCTGCTCAAAGAAGCCTTGCTCTTTGCCCTCGCTCTTATTAAGATCGATTATAGCAAGGACGGAAGAAAAATTTACTTGACGGTAGACGCTAGTCTTAAGGGATAAAGAGCAGTATTGCAGCAAAAGGATTCCGACAAAAAGCGACATCTTGCCAAGTTCGAGAGTGGTCTTTAGAACCTTGCGAAGAGCAAGTACGACGCGATCAAGCGAGAATGCCGCGGTGCTTTAAAAGCTATAAAAAAGATAAGGAGCGAACTATACGGGGTTTACTTTATCTTGGAAACCGACGCCAAGGTACTGGTTGATCAACTCAACGGATCAGCAAGCGACTTGCTTAGAGCTTTCGTTACGAATTAGATTGCGTAGATAAGATTAATAGACTTTGAAGTCAAGCACATCCTTAAGACCAAAAACACGGCGGCGGACGGTCTTTTTAAGAGAAGAAGAGAGCATCTTTTAGACATCAAGGAGAGAGAGGAAGAAGATATTGACGATTAGGTTACTAACGAGCTGAGCATTGTTTCAGTATTCTCGGTTAAACGACTCGTAAACTATAGTTCACGGGCCAAAAAGAGAGTTTTAAAGCACGACTACTCGCTCGACTCCGAGCTCATTGCTTAATTCCTTACTACTTTTAAACGCTTTCCTTCGATTAAGACTTACGACTTTCAGAAATTCAAGAACAAAGCATTCAATTACTTGGTTAAAGATGGTTACTTTTATAAGCGAGCAAACAATTCCTACTCGATTAAGCTGGTTGTCGACGGAACCTAAAAACGCCATACTGCTATTTCCGACGCTCACCGAGAATCCGGACATAGAAGAGCTGAGTCAACTTACTACCGCACGTTAAAACTCTTCTTTTAAAATGGATGCTACGAAGACTGCAAAGCCTTCGTTTAAAGCTGTGAGCCCTGTCAAAAGCGCAAAGCTAGACGAACAGAAAACCCTTTGTACTCGACCTGGCTTACTTAAATGTGGTCAAAAGTCAGCTTAGACGTATCACGAGTTCTTACTACCGACAAAAGAATAACTTGCTTCGTACTAACTAAAGAAGATCTATCTAGATAGCCGGAAGAGCGGCCACTTCGATCGGCTAACGCCGAATCTATTGCTAAGTTCTTTTAAAAGGATATCGTTTGCCGCTATAGACTATTCGAGAGACTGACTATCGATAAGAGACTTAAAAACAAGGCAATTGCTAAAGCCTTCGCTATTAAGTACGGGATTAAAAGGGTCTAAATCTCAAGCTATAATTCAAAGGCTAATAGAATGATTGAGAAAGGCTATAAGGACATCTTAGATAGCTTATCGAAAGTCATAAACGAAAGATTTAAAGATTAGGTTCGCAAATTCAATAAGATGCTTTTTGCGGTTCGGACATCGATACACGCACTTATTAGAATCACCCTTTTCTTTTTGAACTACGGACGAAAAGCTAAGCTACTCTTAAAGTCACGATGGCCAGTCTAGAGATTACTACTTTAGCAAGAGGTTCGATCTCGCGCTGACCTGCTTGTTATAAGATTCAAACAATTAAAACTTCGAGATAAAGATATCGACGAGATCATCTTAAAGAAAAAACGCTATCGACTTGCCGCTAAGGCCACTTAAGAACGAGTCAAGGTCTTAAAGTCGGAACCTATTAAAGAAAAAGACTTGGTACTGCTTTACGATGTCAAACGCAGCATCGACATATCCGCGGACACTAAGCTAGACTACAGATAGCTAAGACCTTATGTCGTTTTTAAAGCTTACGATAAAAGATACTACAAGCTTTAAGAAACCGATAGGACTAAGCTTAAAGGCACTTTTGCAACTAACCGCTTCAAGCGATTCTACCGCCGCAACCAAACCCTCTTTCCTTTTGATAAGGACGACGAAGAAGAAGAAGAAGAAAATTCGAGCTCTTTAAACGACTCGGACCTCAGCGAATACGAGCCTTTCGACGACGGCAAAAGTAAACCACTCAACTTAAGGGTGACCCTTGGACCTAGGTCCACTAACTTCCAAATCATTCTTCTAACACTCTCGAAAGAACAAAAACTAGCTTACAAAATTGTTTCTTAATCTGTTTCCTTTACTTTGTTTTTTTCTACTTTCTTATCCTTTCTTTGTTCTACACTTATTCTATGAGGGGACGTGCCCTTAATGATCACTCTTTTTGTTATTGGTAAAGAAGAGTATTTCTTACGTTTGTTCTCTTACCTTTGGACTTGCTTTTCATTGTATTCTCTGTTCTTTCTTTGTTCCTTTCACCTTACTAGCTATTCACTTGTCTTATATAAATTGTTTTTATTGTTTAATTGTTTTTCACTTGTTTAGGCTTACACGGCTATTTCTTATTTTTTATTTGGGACTGTTCTCTTGTTTTAAGCGTGCTCAACTACGTGTATTCGAAGGTGAACTGCTATTAGAAAAAGTAGGTCCTTTTTACAAATATACTTATATAAGAAAGCTCCCTCTTCTTTTTTTTCAACATTTTCTCTTTTTATACAACAACAACTATAATAACACTATTATCACTTCCTCTTCACAATTACACAATACTACACTAACATTAACGACCTTAATTATCACTCAATCGATCACCACTACTATTAGCCTTATTCCGCTATCTTATGTTTGGCTCGTGAACCGTAGTTCACGAGTCAGATATGCTTCTTAAGTCAGCCGCCGCTAAGGGAAAAGCCCTTGTCCGGGATGCACCCTTTAGCCTACTAATAAGCGAGGAGCAAGCTGCCTTGGCCCGATAATCGAGTTTCGAACTAAAGTTCGAAGAACGAGTTACTAAGACCTTCGATGAGTTCCTTTAGACCTACCGCTAAATAAGCAACTCTAGTCAACTAGCCATGCTCAAGGTAGCAACCTCCGACTTTAACAACAAATTGGGTAAGGAAAACGACTTGATCTTGCAGTACGACCAGTTCTTATAGGCTGAATGCGCAAAAAAGAACATGGACGCCGAAGACCTTTTTTCGGCTTACGACCAGTTTACTACTAGAGTCACCGCTATCCACTCTTTACGCAACAAGAACGCCGAAGAACACAAACGAATCAAGAGAGCCTTCGACGGCGCTCGAAGCTAATTGCTATATGACGACCACCTTAAGGCTGTATGCACCTTAGTCCGCAGCGCTCGCTAATTGAGCGTCATTCTGGAGAATTGCACCTTTAACGCTTACGCTATCCAGGTCATCAACCATTATATTGTTGCTTACGTCGCTTTCTAGAAGATTATAGCTAATATAGCTCGAGGACGCAAGTTCATTAAGCTCAATGCTACGGTAATCAACCTTATCTGCTAGACCGTGGAAGACAAGAACAACACCGAGTGGAAGGATGAGATCGCTATTCTTGACGAAGGACTCTTGAAGAAGCTAAGACTAGAGGTCTTATCGTATGGCTTATTGATTTTGGCTTTCGACAACATAAAGGGCGAATACGACGAGCCTAAAGAACGTATAGAGTTTGCCGACGAGAATCAAACTTGGAGTTTCGTTTTGCAAAAGGAACCCGAATCCGGAACTCTACTCGTGAACTATAGTTTACGAGTAAAAGATAATTCAGCAATCGAGGCAAGACTAAGTCAATCTCTTGCTCTTAATACCCTTTTGCTTAGATCACTTATTGCGCGCCTTTCGCTGTCACTAGCCTTGTCTTAAGGATCGACGTCATCCCTTGCTAATAAAGCCCCGAACGCTAAACTAGTTGCTTCGATCATGTCCACTTTACGCAAGTCCACCGACGCGAGCTCCTTTGCAGCTTTTAGACCTGAAGTACAACGCGACCCTCCCGAGAATCAGCTGCTACTAGCACTACCCGTTGAAAAAAGAGACAGCTTCGAGTACGAACTAGCTAAGGCTGTATCGAACCGCTGCTTAAGACTCGTCGAAATTAAAAACCTTATAAGTATAAACGTAGCCTTTATCAACTTTTGCTAAGACTTTTATTAATCAGCCTTCGACCGCCTGAACCTAGACGAAAATATCGACAATGCCTTTTAAGTTGCCGCGGAATCAACCAAGAAAGCTGTCAGCTAGATCCGCAAGCTTTTAAAAGACGAATTTTCTAACAACGCGATCTTACGACTCTTCGACCGTCGTAGCCAAGTAGGGGTAAGTAGGGAAGGAAGCAAGGTAATGAACTACTTTTTGCTGTCCGAGATCTTCAATTTAAGCCTTAACAACGACGATTGCGACTGCATAAAGGTCTCTTAAGAGGTGAAGAACGTATTAGAATTTAAAGATAGATTCAAAGAACTCTTTAACTTAGACGTCTAAACGAAGCTCCGCTTCAACCGCAGAGTCTTACCGTCCGCCACCGACTTGTCAAAAGGAGTCCTTTGCGAAGTCTACACCTTCGAATACGCCAAATACCTTGGGCTAGCTACGAAGGGCCTTACAACAACGGTGATCCGTTCTAATCTATGTCGATTCATCGAGGCTTTTTAAACTAACGCTTTTAACAACTTTATGCTTCACTCGAGCAATTAATCGATGTTCGCTATTAAGACTAAGGGCAATACTTTAGCTAAGAGAATGTCTAGCTTAAGCTCTTCCAAGTTCAAAGCTAAGCTGATGTCTCTTAACAAGCTGAACTAGAGCACTAGCCTGATAAGCACCGCTTAAAAAAACAGCCCTCTTAACACCTTAGATGCGGGTAGCTACACGAAAGTTTGGCCTATGTTAAGAGCTTCTTTCTTGAACAACAAGCACGGCAACTAGACCTTCTTCACTATTATAAACAAAGAGATCTAGATGTACTTCTACCACTTTCGGACCAGTGATTCAAGAGGAACCCCGACTGGTGCACTCTCTAACATAGTGCACTCGCTGACCTAGCAAGTCCTTCGAAGCCATCATGGGCTGTACTTTGCCGCTTTGCTTAATCGCCGAGACGGAAACTACAAGCTCATCGCTTACTCGGAACCCTTTCAGCTCCTTAGATGCAATAATAGTGCTCGAGTGATTGCGACCAAACACGACGCTGATACTAAACGACCCGTGAACCGTAGTTCACGAGTAGAAGACAGAGTTTTGGACTACCACTTAGTGCTTTACGGCGTGAAGAGTCAGATCGGAAGCTTAGCTATTTGGCTCAAGAGCCATACTCACGACACTACCCTTAGAAAGACCGCCCGATAAAAAGCTTTTAGACTCAAGTCGAAGACCTTAGATGCCCTTAAGAACATTGCGCTACGCTAACCTCTCGCTATGGTCATGGATCTCGCCACTTTTATGTCCGTTATCACGAAACAAGGTGTTTTCTTAGATATAGACGCTTTCTAGAATTCCTCTTGCGGATAAGCCATCTTTTCTAACAACTACACCGCTTTGCTGAACGATAGCACTTTAGAAAATAGAGTCAGCTTTGCAGAGTACGCTTGCACGATCGTCTTAAGACGCATGCCGCTAACCCTTCGGTAAGGAGTCATCAATGAATCAAGCTAGCCTTTCGCCGCTACAATCTAGCTGGACTACGTCAGTTTCGTGTTAGAAGCCTTGATCGAAAGAATAGATTAGAACGAACCCCGAGTGGTAGAGGAATTGACCGCTATCTTTGCTATGTCCCGGACCTAGTTCTAAGAACACCTCATTAAGCATAAGAAGAAGTTGTTTTCGGCATTCAGAAAAGGATTTGCTGTTGTGTTGGATGCGGAAGCTAAGACTTACGGAGCCAAGTCCTTTTCCAAGGGCAAGAGCCGCCGAGCTGACGACCTTATGGACGCCGACAAGTTGAAGGATTTTAAAGAGAGCTTGCGACCGATTGAGTTGTCTTCTAACGACTTTGATTTAAGTGTAGAGATCAATCTGGAAAGTGCGAAATCCACTCGTGAACTACGGTTCACGAGCCAAATCGACGATCTTGAAGCATCATCTTCTTAGCCGGAATCCTCAGACCGCGCATTCGATGAGGCTATAGAAGCCCTGGGTGACTTGCCCGAAGACGAGGACGAGCTTAGTGGCTCTGGACCCTACTCTGGCCTCGCTGACCCCCCGTCGGCCAAGTTCACACCTATCAACGAGGCTACCAATAAGCGCAAGAACGACACGCGCTCCCTCACCTTTGAGGATGCTGCTACTGGCACGTCATCGTCCAATGCTGGCCCTGCCAAGAGAAGAAGACCCTCCCAGCCTGAGGAGAACGAAGGAGTTGAGGACGTAAGCACGGAAGGAGACCATAAGGAAGCTGCCGAGGCGTAGTTTGGATGTTTGGAGTTTGGAGACAAGATACCCCCCCTTTTGTACACTAGATTTTTTTCTTTCTGCTACACCCCCTTTTTTTCTTCTTCTTGCTTGATGGTAGGCGGGGGCGCCTACCTATTCTATAAGGGGACGGATGTAAACACCCTGCTTGATGGGGTACCTGCCATGGCCACTAGGGCCACACTAGACGGACCTATCTTTTATAAGAGGGCACACATCTCTTAGCTAAAACAATCAACGAGCTTTCCACCCACCTTTTCTGACACCTCTTTTGTGAGACCATGAGGTCTAGCCTCAGAGCCAGGCTTCTATACAGTACATCTTTTGGGGTGCTTCTACACTATTTATTATAATATTAAGAGCGAGACCGTCTATTGCTACTTTACGGAAGAACAATTAAAGATCATCTATAAGCGTTTTGGCCACTTTTTAGCAAATCGATTTGCTATTGTTCTTAAAAAGGCCGAGCACGAATTTAAGCGAGATTTGCTTTACAATATCTAAAAGTTTTGCTATTATTGCTAAGTATTCGGACGCTTTTCGAAAAGGTTTAATATTAGACTTAAAGACGATACTAACTTTAATAATACGGTATACGTAAACGTAATGCATTTTAACGGCAAGAACGTATTATACGTCGTTTGCGATTCTATTAATTTTCAAGCCGCCACCTTTCTTAAAAGCATATCCGCATAGCACTTACTTAAAAGATTTAGTCGATGTTGAATTAATACTTACGTCGGACCTTTTATAAACGTAGTGCACGATCTCGGAACCAACTTTAATTTAGCAACGTTCCGAAGCTACTTTAAAGGTATTAGTAGCAGTCTAAAGCAGATGCTTGTAAAAGCTTATTATAGCGTCGGATTAATAGAACGCTATTACGTCTTTGTGCGACGCGCTTTTAAGATCGTTATAAAAGAGCTTTCAAAAGCTTTAAAAGAAGACCGGCTTTAAATAGCTATCAAAGCTATTAACGACATAGCTAGACTTAATAGCTTGGTTCTTATACTTTTCGTTTTTAAAACCTTATCGAGGCTGACGGAGCAAGATCGACTTGCCGCGTTTACTTAAGAGCGTGCTGCTGCTATTAACAAAGTTATAAAAGAAGTACGAAAATGCCACGCTGCGAGGCAGGTTAAGGACGCGCTTAAAAGAAAGAATAGCTTAATTACGGAGCATACTTTAGACCTTTTTATTAGCTCACAGGTGCTCGTGTAACGAGAAAATCAAAGATAGAAAGGCCTTTTTCAGCTGCTTAGCAAGCAAAGGCATACGTACACAATAGCATGTCCGAGGCTTACGGAATTCAAGTCAACCTTAATAAAACCTTACTACTTTGAAGTTGAAAAGCTACTAAAAGAGTTGCAAGTACTTGAAATAGAAGTAAAAGAAAAGGTAGAAGAAGATCAAAGCGAAAGCGAAAAAGAGCTAGAAATACGAAATTCGCTTAAACCTTAACACTCGCTTAATCTACCGAAGTCGCTTAATTTAAAAAGCTCGCTAAGATTAGCAAACAGCTTTCTTAACTCTTAACTTGCTAATCCTTAGAAGTCAACAATACTAATAGTCTAGATACTTTATTAAAAGTACGATCTTAGTATCTCGACCGTGCTTGACGAAGAGGAAGACGATTCTTACGTTTTATTTATTAAAGACTTCGAAGTGTTGATTACCGATAAAAAACGCCGAGACTATAAGCTTTTAATTAAGCTACGAGCCGAAGGAATCATTAAGAGCTTCGAAGCATCATTTTAAGAGTCTAAAGCAAAGGAATTAATTGGATTAATAGCTTAAAGCATCTTTTAAGTGATTTCGAGCACCGATTTACGCGCTAAAAGCGTTAAGATCTTCGGATTTAAGTTTGTTAATAAGATTAAAAGCAAAAGAATACTTACGCTATACGAGAAGTCTCGTATAATAGTCTAAGCTTTTTAAGACAAAAGCAAAACGAAAGTACTTACCGAGTCACTTACGGTGTAGCGAACGGGCTAAAGACTTTGTTGTGCTTTAGCTTTTTTTTTAATAAAAGACTACGAGTGTCAAGTCTATAGCAAAGATATCATTTAAGCTTATACTTAGTTAAGCACGAAGCTTATCCGAATAATCGTCGTGCGATTATTTAAAGAGATCACTTATCGATTTTCTTTCGGCACTTTATTCTTTATAATTAGCTTTTTGTATAAGATCTTCGAAGCAAAAACGCATTAGTATAAGCGTTTTTCAAAGCATTTCACGGATAATCTCGAGATGAAGCAATCGAGTTTTGATTTTTGCTTCTTTATATCAATTAACAAAGATCAGTTAAGAATAGCTGCTTTATAGACGAATGATATTCTTATAATTATTAATCTAGCTATAAGAGCAAAAGAGGAGAAAGAGCTGGTCAAATCCAAGCTGAAGAGCAAGGAAATAGAGATCTTTATACACGCCGAGCTAATGATTTTCAATAGATGCAAGCTATTTTTAAATAAAGACGGGTTCGAACTGTTAGTTAAGCAAAAGGGGCAAAGGGAGAGGCTTGCGGTAATCAAGCTCGATTCAGCTATACGGGCTAAAGAGTACTTAGAGCAACGTGCTCGAAAGGCGTATTTAGCTACTATTTGCTACTTAAAAGCATCTTATGCTCTATCGATAGCTGCTTAGCATTAAGAACCGAAGGACGAAGATTATAAAGCTTTTAATAAGGTGATTTAATAGCTGATCGATCACTTAACTCGAAGGATCTATTACGTGCTCTTAGACTTAAGGACGGCGAAGCTTTTTGTGTTCGTAAACGGAGCGTTTGCTAATAACGCTGATCTTAACTCTTAGATCGGTTTCGTAGCTATCTTTAGTAATAAGGCTTACGTAAGTAAGAACGAGTTTACTTTAACGGGTAACATCTTCTATTAGATGTCACAAAAGTGCAAGAGGGTGATAAAGGCAATACTAGCTTTTAAGCTATACGCTATGTCTTTAGGTATCGATATAGCTATTGCTATATCGATTATCTTTGTTTAAATCATAACTTAATTAAGGATCTTTAATTTCTTCGTAGTTATGTGCACTGACTCTTACTCGCTCTACGAGTGTATAGTAAAGTTAGGAACTATTAAAGAAAAGCGCTTTATGATCGATATTATAGCTATTCGAGAGTCATACGAAAAGCGGGAGCTTTTTAAAGTACGCTAGATCGGAGGAAAATCTAACCTTGCTAACGCCATGATTAAAGTCGAAGCTAATACTTTTTTGCAAGAGCTAATTTTAATTAATACTTTAAAAGTGCAAGTAGACGGATAGGTAGAAAGGCCGCTATAAGAGAAAAGAGAATGAGTTTTAATAGAGTGAAATTGATTTTCTTTTATTTAATTACTTTCCTTTTTTTTCGGTCGATATAATAATTAGCAAGGCATTGCTTGCTAAAGAGAGAGTTGCCGGTGTCGGTATATCTATATCGACCTTAGCTAGTAGTAGTAGTAGTTAAGGAAGCTTACTCGTGAACTATGGTTCACGGGCCACTTGGCATGCCTCGCTTAGCATGTTAGCAGTCAAGGGACCCTTAACTTGACAAGTAAACTTATTAGCTAGCTAGTGCACGTGATTCCTTCTAATCGTATAGAAGGAATCAGCTCCCTTGAGCTTTGGGGAGCAGACAGAATTCAGATACCTTATCAACCGAGTGTTTTGCAATTGCAAGTACTTTAACGACCGTTACGACCTTACGAATATATATTCCCAATCGCTTGGAAGCAATCCAACATAAGCTATATATGACATGTCATGTGACCTCGCTTAATAGCGCTCTTAGCATATTAGAGCTTCTAGGTACATGTACATAGATCTTGACGAGCTTTTTAAATAGAATATACTAAGCTTCATTTAATCTACAGAATCTCCTCTTGATCTTAGTGCTAGTAAGCACTACAATTATTTATAATAAAGAGACGAAAGGCCTTTCGAGTTGCAATTAAAAAGATTCGTCGACTACAAGCTAAAAGAAAAGTCAAAGACGCTTTAGCAATGCGAAATAAACTAAATACTTTAAAAACTTTCAACTTCTTTTTGCAATTAAACGTTAAAGTTTATAAAAAAGTAAAAAGTAAACCAAGCAAAAGCGAATAGACTAGATTGTATAAGCTAATTGCACGTGAAAACGAGACTTGTAAAGTACTCGTAAACGATCGAATTAGCGAATTCCGTTTAATAGTTGTTAAACTATATTATAAATCACTTTTAAATACGCTAAACCTCGAAGAATCCTTGTTATCGAACCGGTCAATTGAAGCTGAACTACTACCGGTCTAGCTTATAAGACAACTTACTTTAGCTATTAAAATTAAATCACGCTCGCGCAAACCGAAAAGCAATTTAACAGTTCGCTATAGCTTTCGTCACTTTTTTGCAAGTATAAAAGAATTCAAACACTTCGACGAGCAATTTCTTAATTACGAAAGTAATATTATTATAATATTCTTTACTTATAAAGAAAAAGCTAATATTATACTCTTTACGAAGCTTAAAAACGAAAGAGTTATTATTACGCTCGGCGAGCAATTCGTAAAATCACGCTTTTAAAAGCTAAAAGGCTTAATAAAAAAAGAGGTATTTAAAGTTATAAAATACAATCTTGCAATCTACGGAACAAGCCGTATATTCAACTCTCGAATAGTCGATAAAGTTAAAAGCAAGAATACTTTCGAACTATACGAAAAATCACGCTTTATTATTTAAGCTTAAAGCGACGAAAGCAAGTATAATATTCTTATTCAATCCTCGACTATTTAGCGCAATAGCTAGCGTTTAATGATTTCCTTAGCTTTATTCTTAGAATCTTTTAATCAAGCAATAGTATTTTTACGAGATATTACTTAAGCTTACGTATCGAGTTAGCGTTACTTCGAGCGTATAATCTTAGCGTATTTGCTTAAAGACCTTTAATATCTATACTTTTCGGGCTACATTTTATTAATTCGTAGACCTTTATACGGGATTGCGAAAGCAAGTACTTATTAATA